GCATACCTTAAATATTTTTCATAGATAATTGCTAGGCCGCCGAAGCTTCTGGCACGCAAGATTATTACTGGAGAGCATGATTGAGGGCTCTTGGCTATGGAGGTGTCCCATTGGAGAATAGACATCCAGGGGGTTAAGGGTGAGATGAATGATGTGTCTCAGTGTCGGCTGCACCCAGGTAGCACCGGCATGTTCAATCCGAATAAATGATTTTTTTTAAAAAAAAGTCTGAAAGATGCGTTTGGAGACTCATGATTCGAGTGGAGGTGGATTGTCAGAGCTCTGACACTTGGCTTCTCTGCCCTCAAGGAAAAACGACCTTTTTCCCTAGTATTTTATCACTTCCATTTATTCCATTTCAAACGTGGACCTAAACCAGCCGACACTGGTCAGTTCAAAGCAAGGTTTTGGGTTGGCCAGCAGTGTCTGTCCCAGAGGGCCATTCTCCCCCCACCTCTTCCCCTGGATGACAGACAGGCATCCCGTCAACAGCTTGTCAGCCTTCGTTCGGCATCTTCCCCCTTCTGAGGGTCGGGGCTGTGGTTTTACCTCCTTGAAAATAAATTCACGTTTGCACGCGGGTTCTCCCGGTCTCCATTCGGGAGGAGCCTTGTCGCGAAGGCTCAGCTGCCGACGGCGACTGGCATGCGACCACGGGCCACGTTTTGCAGCGCGACCCTTGCCACGCTCACCCCCCGCGAGAGGGGGGGAAATGCCAACGGTGGCGAGACAGACATCCAAATGGCAGGTTTCCATCAACCCCACCTCTAAGGTGGAAGGAATTAATCAGTGACGTCCACCCTGTCAGGCCCCGAAGCCGAGGCGGTTTGACTGACAGCGTGATTCAGCCCACGGCAGCAATTAATTGTCCATGAAATCGCACTCTTGCGCCGGTACAGCATCTGTTCTAACACCTGCGACTCACAGAACCACTGATCACACACACACACACACACACACACACACACACACACACACTTTGGAAGCCATATTGGGATTCGATGTTCCCACGCCGCCACGGTTGGATTTGAGAAAGTGGGAGGGAGGAATTCATTTGAGTATATCTAGTTCGACAAAATAAAATTCTTTTGTTTGGTTCAAGGTCACTGAGTGTGGCGCCTAATGAAATGGGAATCTTACTTTAGGACGGATGGGGATTGGACCACGTGGTGTGATGATGGCTAAGGTGTGTGTGTGTGTGTGTGTGTGGATTTTTGCAAGGAAGCTGGGAACTTTCAGTTTCTGGATTCCACCAATGTGCCAGTTACTATCCAAATAAAGGTACCTGTGAGATATGACTGTCTTGGAATTATTGGTTGGAATGGTGATTTGCTGGAATGCTGACACATAGATTCCCCTGGAAGGATAAAACCTGAAAGTAGAAAGAGGTCTTGGAAGCTGTAGGAGAAAAACACAGGTGGTCCTTTAGGTCTTCTTCAGAATCCAGGGACGGCCAGGTAGAAGCAATGCATCCTACCGTATTTCTACCGTTAGAATCAAAACAGTCGTCGAGAAAGCTAAATTATGGTAAAGATTAAGGGGTTTACAGGATATTTATTCACCGCAGCAAAGAGAAGCAGAGATGGTCAAATCGATTCTTTTCTCCAAAGAAGAGAATAGATGGAACTTCGTTTCTATTTTGAAAATTGCTTCCGGATTTTGTGCGTGCAATGGGTGAGGTAGGGTGAGGAATGAAACTTTGATTTTGTTTTTGTTAACTAGGAATGGTTTGAACATACTGCCTTTTTGTGAAAGCAAAAAGTTGCGGTTGTAATGTTGTTGTCTTCCACTGTGCTAAAGAGAGTCAGAAGTCGGCGCTTTTTTCTTTCCTTTTGTAGCAACGCGACCCGTGCCACGATAGATTTTTCTTTTAAAAAGTAGTTATTCCCTTTAATCTCTTCTTTTCCAAATAAACGTGGCCAAGCCGAGCCTATAGGAAAAGCAGACAAGGGGACAGATGCTTCTAAACAGAAAAGCAATTGAAAGCAATTCTCTCGCAACCCCATAACCAGCTGGGCTGCATCTCACAGTCCATTAAGCAAGAATTGATGGGGAGTAACAGCACCTATTTTAGGGGGCATGTGATTTACCAGGGCAAACTTTCTTTTCCCTTGACGTTAAAAAAAAAAAACAACGCATTCCTTCAGTTATTAGCCTTCTGCATGCAAGCCTCTTGGTCAGGGTACAGGAAATCGCCGGCCAACCTGCAGAATCCAGAAAAGACATCCCTCCTGCTCCTTGGGGTAGATCTAGAGAAGGAAAACTTTCCCAGAATCATTTTGAAACGTTTTTGGATGAATCCCTCGGAGGAGGAACATTCATTGCCTTGACAGAAAGCTCCACTGAGTTACAAAAAGAATTATAATGCTGTCTTGAGAATTCAACCCCTCGATGGGGAAATGGACGTTGGAAGGAAGAGGAAGGAAGGAAGGAAGGAAGGAAGGAAGGAAGGAAGGAAGGAAGGAAGGAAGGAAGGAAGGAAGGAAGGAA